AGGTCTGAATTTAGATTTCTGCCTTTCTTCTTTCTGACAATATATGCACTCCTAATTATGAGTAATCAGACTGATGGCTTTATTATCATCAGTATGTGTTATGTACTCAGCAGCTGGCACATTTTAATGATGAGCTTTATTTTCAGGAAAAGCAAAATTGAAAAAGAAAATGACATACATGGTATGAACTAATATCACTTCTTTCTTGATAGTGCTAGTGGAGGGTAAATCAGAAAATGTCATAGAGTGCACCAGAATTTCAGAATAGGCTTTGACACACAGTTACTCGTGATTTTTTTTGTAGATGAAATAGAGGAAGAGAATGATAGTGTGCTCTTTTCTGGCTGAACAACCATGCTCAAACGGGGCTGATGAAGTTTTCCAGTCCTGACAGGGTTCTTTGAAGGGATTGCCACAGACCATTGTATTTGATCTAGTCCTTGGGTGGGAACCGGTTCTTAAAGCTCCACAGGTGATTCTGAAGTGCAACCAAGGATAACCACTGGTATAGCATCAGTGGCTCACATACTAACTACATACTGTTTTATCATTCAGATGTGTCTTACTGATACCAATAACTGTCTTCCAAAGATCCAATACAGTTTCACAGATGTTTAAAGCAAAGGTAGAAATAGAAGATTTAATGGACTTTATTGCAACTAGAATAAATGTTAGGAAAATCACACATAAAAAGGGCTCCACCCACAGGGGCCGGTAGGGACTTCAACTGGATGTCCCCTCAACATTTTACAAATATCAGATTCCACCAAAACCCATTGACAAGAACATCCCCATTATGTGTGAATGCAAAGTTAATAAATGGTCATTCTCTTGGTGCTAAGAAAAAAAACCCCAACAAACTAAAGATTTATTTTATGGAAATTATTGTGCCTCCTTATTTAGAATCAGTTCATTATAGGTTTTAAAAAACATATATTCAATTGACAAAAATGTTGAGGGAGATGAGCAGAACACCAACATCTGATCTGCATGCATATATCCACAGGGAAACTTCAATTTTAACCCCAGTTCACTTTTGCAAACAGAAAGAACAAGGTACTTTATTACTGGAGTTATTACTAGAGAATGCACTAAAAATGTCCATGGGTCACAGAACAACATGTCCAAGGCCAGTTATGTTGAGTGCAAAGACTTTAGGCAGTGGGAATGAAGCTTGGAAAGGGATGGAAAGAAGCTTGTCTCCTCTCTGTCTCTGGAAGGGTACCAACCTTATAACACCACTACAGTTAATAACTCTAACCTTTAAAAGGCATTTTATGAGCAAATGAGGTCAATTAGTACAGAACAATTTACATTTTTCAAAATCCTAACCACTTTATAAGTAAGTGGGGGGAAAGTAATTCCTTGCATCACTGATATGTTAATATGCAGTATTCATAGAGGTACATGACACAACAAAGACACAAAAAAAGCCATGCTGAAATGCAAACAACCTTCAAATGTATAGCCCCAGACTTCACCTTTACCTCTCCTGTTCAGTGTTCCCTGCTCATGGTAATTTTACTGAATTGTGCAGAACCCTTTACTCCTTAAGAGGATGGGAGTGTTGCCAGTGTGAAGGGGACATTCTTGGGGAAGTGGGGAATCCAATCTCTCTCCATGAATGGGTAAAAACACTTTAAAGATCCTTTCTCTAGACCGCAATGCATTTATAGTAAGAGACTATAACACACCACTTACATCAACAGATCAACCAGACAGAAAATAAATAAGGAAACAAAGGCACTGGACAACACATTAGATCAGATGGACTTAACAGATATCTACAGAACATTCCACTCAAAAGCAGTAGGATACACATTTCTCTCAAATGTACATGAAACATTCTCCAGAACAGATCACATACTAGGCCACAAAAAGAACCTCAATAAATTCAAGAAGATTGAAATTATATCAAGCAACTTCTTAGACCACAATTGTGTGAAGGAAGAAATAAACTCCATGTGGAAAACAAAAAAGCACACAAACATGGAAGCTAAACTACATGCTTCTAGATAATCAATGGATCAGTGAACATTTCAAAACAGAAATCAGACAATACAAGCAGACAAGTGAAAACAAGAATACAATAGTCCAAAATCTGTGGGATGCTGCAAAAGCAGTTCTAAGAGGGAAGTACGTAGCTATACAGGCCTACCTCAAGAAACAAGAACAATTTCAAATAAACAGTCTAAACTCACAACTGAACTAGAGAATATAGTCAGTGATTGTGTAACATCTTCCTATGTTGACAGATAGTAACTGCACTAGTGGGAGTGAGGATTTGGTAATATGAGTAACTGTTGAACCACTGTGTTGTATACTTGAAACCAATATAACATTGTAAATCAATGATACTTCAGTTAAAAAATAAAGGTCCTTTCTTTTTCCTTTCTCACTTTTCTACTCATATATAAATTTCTTTCTATTCTCTCTCTATATTTCCTACAATGAGCTTTACACTGTACTAACTTTGTGAGATATATATTATCCCCATTTTACACAAAGGAAATAAGCTTATAAAGGTTAAAGTGATTTGGTGAAGGTTCTAGAGCTTGCAGGTTATGGAGCCCGTGCACACCCAGATTGCCTGACTGTATGGTCCAAATTTTTTTTACATCAGCATGCTACCCTCTACCACTCTGTCTTCCTTCACTTATTCCCTTCTTTCCTCCTCAAAGCCTAAAGTGGTAGATAGGTGGTAGTAGTGGAAAGATCTTAAAGAAAGAAGGACTAACTTAGTTCTCATTTATACCTCTCCCAAAGCTCCACCATTTTCTATTTCGCCACACACAGCCTGGCCATGAGTATCCAAGAGAACACAGGCTTCCTACAGGCTTATATTAGACCTTTTTCTCTCCAATCCTTCCATGGTTTCAAAAAACTACATTTTTCAAATCCCAAATAATGGCATATAGCCTGAGAGACTGTGTTTTCTTTAAGAGAACATGAGGACACATAAACATATGTAAAATCCAAACTAAAAAAGTACTCGTGGTGCCTAGCAGAGAGAGCAAATGCTGGCTCAATAAGGACTTGATTGATTTACTGAAGGTTGCTCATACATGGAGTGTAATGAAGAGTGTTAGAGTAAATCCTTATCAGTGGAATTCAACGGGGTGGTCTTTTTGACAGGTCTTTTTGTTACAGTCTTAATGTAGGCTCTCTGAACCTGGTGCCTTGTTAATCTGCAAGTCCTTGTTTCCATACAAGGCTGTGGATTCTAAGAGACAAACTGTTAATTTTGAGTTCTAATCTCAGGCTAGGAGATGCCTATAAAAATTAAAACTGTTTCCTTTTTTCTAACAATTAACAGCCTAGCTAAAGAGTAATCAATTGTAATCAGGGAACTGAAAGCATCAGGAGACCAGCTGCTTTACTGAGCCATTTATTTAATCCTTAAATTTTGCAGGTTGTAAATTACTCATTAGAAAGCAGAAAGCAAAATAGCCATATCCGTTTAGTGCCTCTAAACTCTGAAGACTTAGAAGAGGAAATCCATGGAAACAGGAGGCCTGATGTGTCCTTTCACTGCTATTTGTTAATGGGCAAAGGTGGTTAAACAGTAAGGACAAGCCCAAGTAATTACCCTGAAGTGCTGGTCCATGGGTCAGGAGCAGACTTGATTAAATTCATGGAGGGCTGACCCAGGAATGGTGGGAAAAAGCCCCTTCTTTTCCACTCAGCCCTGCAGGCACTAATCAGTGTGCATATCTCACTTCCAGATTGTTTCATGAGCCCAGAGCAATGGCCCATAGCATTCATTAGGGCATTCACTCTTCTCTGTTTTCCAGTCAGCACAGGGACTAACGACAAGGGGCCAAGTACCAGAGCAGAATGAGGAGGGGACAAGGAGGAGGCTGTCCCTCTCTCTACATAGGGAATGCAGCTCCCCATTATAAAATGTTCCAACTGCAAAAACAACTAGACAATTGGTTTATAGGTTTCTTTACATGTATAAAAAGCTGCATATATTTGGCTCGAATATGGATTTTATAAGCTATATATGTAAACACTTAACCATTTACTCAAGACAATTTTGTTTTATACTAAGGGTAAAATGCAATTTTAGACTCTTAATGGTAATGATGCGAGTAATATGCAAGATGCCTTTGACAATGGCTCTGAGAGTTTTGAAAGAATTTTAATCCATACATATTTCCTTTTTTCCTCTATTATGATGTACTTTGTATATACAACACAACTTCTGGCTCACCCTTAGGCAATATACAACAAAATAGCCAGCGGCTCACTTCTGTACTGAGTGAGCGTTTCTTTCCTAGTCCTTTGGCATTTCCTGTCATCATCATGAGCAGCTCTGAACAAAGACTGTGGTGTTAGGCTATGAAATGGAGCTTTTCTCTTTGCAGAGGTTAACCAACCAGGCCACGTAAGGAACAAACCTCTGATTCTGCAATAGCAAACCGAGTTACCCAGCACAAACTATTTTCATGCATCTTCTACTTGACAGTCTAATTAAGCTGGTGATTCCACCAGGCTGGCACTGTGTCTATCTTGGGTTCTGTTCAATACCCACCAAGCTGTTGTTGCTCAATAAATCATTACTGATAATGAAACAAAATCTAATTTTTAAAATTATAGGTATCCTGGAAATGCATGTATTTACTTCGTTAAAGTAATTGTAAAGCAAGGGTTTCCTAGACAGATCATTTAACCATGGCATGTAATAAAAAATACTTGTTTCCCACATCTTGCCTTTCAAAAAAGGCTACACTTTTTTAAACTGCAGGAAGCTATATTAAAGAATTCTAAAGATTTCTACCATTAGAAATACTGATATCAACACACTTGAAAAAAGCTGTTCAGGAATTTTAAGAGAAATTGAAAATAACTCAGAGTAATTTTGAAATTATAACTTGGAGCTTCTATGTCACTTGTCCCAGGAAAGAGCCCAATTCTGGCCACACTTTTGGTAGAAATGATGACATTTGGCCTCTTCCCTTTCCTGGGGATGGTACCAGAATGCTCTTTTGACTTACCCTGAGTGGATTTTCATTAAGGTAAGGGGGTTCACCTTCCACCATTTCGATTGCCATAATCCCCAGAGACCAGATATCAACTTTTGGACCATAAGCTTTCCGAGTCACCACCTCAGGTGCCATCCAGTAAGGAGTTCCCACCATTGTGCTTCGCTTACTTTGCTCAGGGGTGATCTGGGCACAGAACCCAAAATCAGCTGCAGAGGGGAAAAGTCAGGGAAAATCAACTCGAATTCCTTTTTTTTTTTTTTTTTACAATAGGCCATTTTCAGTATTGCTGTAACTTCCTTTGCGGGACACTGAGTTTCTACAACTCCATAGCTCCACTCAGCTGGACCTCATTTTAAAAGGGATTGAAATAACCAACGAATGTGATATCATTTTTACTAAACCTCAGTTTGGTTCCCTCCCTATTACTGTTCCCTCCAATGTAAAGAATCTTTCAGTTTTCCAATTAGGTGTTTGTCACCCAGCAGATGCAAGTCACTAGCCTCAAAGGCTGGCCACAATCTACAGGAACAGAACATTAGAAAAATTCTTTACTTCGAACTAGCTCTAAATAATTTCAAACTAATCACTTTCAATAGCTATTTCTTCTCAAGATAAGCAGTAAAAGAGCAGAAATGTCCCCCAAACTCTCTCAAACACCATCTGAACCAAAATACCTACTCAATTTAACAGAGCCATCCATCCCAAGAAGAATATTGTCACTCTTTATGTCTCTATGGATCACTTGGTTCGAGTGCAAGAAATCCAAAGCTTGGAGGCACTATTGGATCAGAAAAAAAGTTCTAATTATATTCCACAGAATTTTTAGAAATTTTAAGTTTCATTTCCAGATAAATTTGGGACAAGGATATAATTTTCTGTTGTCAAGTGAAATAGATCATTAAATGTTGTTAACACCATTTTCAAATCACATTACCATTTACATCAGTGTTGTGACTTAGCGTTACACACATGCAGGCTCCTGAGTCAGCCTAGGACATGGAGAGTGATGGTGTGCTAAGTAGCACCCAAATCATTCATACAACCAAAGTAACCCATGAATATAATCCTACTTTGACCTAGTTATCTAGATGATACAGACTCAGGTTGATCTTATATAGATGTAGCAAGCTTCTGCATCCATAGTATGATTTGATTCAGTAAGTCTGCAGAGACACCCGGGAATGTGCATTTAAAACAAAAGCCTCAAGGTATTTCTGATAGACAGCCATATTGGGGAACCACTTCTAGATTATGAAGTAACTGTAAGTACTTGTTTGAAACTGGCTTTGCATTGTAATACTAGCAGATGGAAGCCACAGGCTTAGGGTAAAATATTCCTTTGAATATTATTAAGTTTGACTTATTGCATGAATAAAAACTATACATGTCTAGTGGATAGGTATGTATGTTTGAAGAGGAAGAAATGGGAATGAGAGGAGAGCAAGAATGGAGGAAATTTAGGGAACGGTTTAAAATCAAAAACAGGCAAAGACTAGCTGAAATTATTTGCTTCTGTTTACCTATCACCAGTTTTCAAGTTTTGGTAGATCAGAGTTCTACTTGGGTCTATAGAGAACCTCGCCACAGTGAATGGGGTTGATGGTGATGGCCAAGATGAGGCTCCAATGAGGAGTGTGGTTTTTTCTAATACTGAAAAAAAATAATATAATATCTTCAGTTTATCTTGAAACTAGAGATATGACACTGTTATTGAAAAAGAGGCAGACACTCAGACCCCCTGGAAGGCTAGAGAGATGTCCAGTTTATACTGTGAAAGCAACTACTTTCTGGGCTGAGGGAGGCTAAAATTGCCTTCCAGAAAATGGTGAGATTATAATGTGGTCTGTGTTTTACATGGCTCACATTGCGTGAGCAGGACGAAATAACTATCATGTAAAATTCCCCCAGATCAGAAAGAAGCTCTATGCTAACATCCATGTTTTCCATATTCACTGAGACCACAGTAAGCAGGCTTAAATATGGCACCTTGTGAGTGGCATAATGGAACTCAAAAGACTATAGCACAGTAGCTCAAATAAGCAAGGGGCTGGGGAGGGAGAGAAGGGGAGTGCCATTAGGTTAGTATCTAAAATGAAGTTATTAGGCTCTCTGCTAGAAAAGATGTGTTTTTTTGGTGTTATAAAAATTCTGAATTATCAGAGATGAAGAACTGCCAATATTGGTGTTCTGTCTCATCAGCTAGAAACTATTTTCTTACCTCTCTGCACACAGCTGCTATCTGTCCTTCATCCATACAGGTCTCTGTGACCACATCAGTCAAAGAACCACCAGCCAAGTATTCCATGACTACCCACAGTTCATCACCCACTAAGTAGCTACAATGAGAAAAAAAAATGACATTGACTCAGGCTTAAAGAAGTGAGGACTCTCCTATATCCCCATCAAGGAGACTATTCATAGTTAGTCTCTGCATTTGGCCAAGTTACATAACAAGAAGAAAATATCAGTGATGGCGATAATGAGACACTTCCTTAACATTAGAAGATAATATGCATTGAAATCAAAGGATCATCAGATATGACCATGCACCATGGAGGAAGGAAAAGAGCAAGGAGGCCTCTGGTGACTGACTACTGTCAATCATACCATCGTAAAAGCTACTTTCAATGAACAGGATCAATGAATCACTTTTTTGGATAACTCAAGCCATAATGTTGGCTTCTTGGACTGAACCAGTCCATGGTGTACAGATTTCTAGGGTATTTATTCAGATCTCAGCATTATTTTTGATTCCACTTAACTAATTACTGAGCTGTTTTCAAGCAGTTGCTGAATCAAAAAGACTTTGGTTGCAATGGATTTACTGTGCTGAGGTCTCAGTTCTGATAGAAGTCAGTTGTGGCATGTCTATATCTTCAAGTAGTTATTGAGCGACACACCCCAAATAATCAAATATGGGGAGGAAGGTCATCAGAGACCTACAAGTTGGGCATCAAAACACCTGTGACCATCTGAAGGCATTTTGGCAGTATGATCAGATCTCTTTTTTCCCCTGCTCAACAAGAGAGAGGAATTATAGTGAATGGTATGACCCCAATGCTTCCACCCTACCCTAAGTTCCATATCAGTATGATGTAACAGGAGAAAAAAAAATAAGGAGTAAGACTTTCTATCCACTGGTGCTCAAACTGCAGTGCCCATTAGAGTCACCTGGGAAGCCTGTTAAAAAATGAAAATACACAGGCTCTACCTCATTAGTTATGGAGAGCAGCCTAGAAATATGCATTTCTTATGAACGCAATTTTTACAAAATTACAAAAGCAGAGTGAAGTCACTCTGTTGCTGGTGGTTCCTAAACAACGTTTTATGGAACACTGATTTTGACTATAAAATTTGACCTTCCTTTTTCCTCTGCCCTTGCCTGTTCTCTTATAGCACTGGTCTACCTGGTGCAAAACAGAAAGCACAATCTTATGCTCACTGCGGTTGTAGACTTAGTCTTATTTCTTCTGTATACCCTCCCAGCCCAGACTACACAGCACAGTGGTGCTAAACAAACACTTACTGAAATTGAATGAGACAGATGTTAATCACAAGTGAAGAGTTAGGGCTGTCTCTAAATGCCTATTTATAACCCACTGCTAATACCACTGATGAAAGAGACATTCATTACCTGGTCTAGGAAAAAGGTTTGAGGTTAAAGTCTCAATTCCCTAGACCTCACTGTCAGTTAATCACAAAGCACCAATTAAAGCAGGGCCATTGTAGTTAGTCTTCTTCATTTAGACACCCAGAGACAGCCCTGGCTCCAAACGCATACTTGATGAAATGTTTAAAACCCCACAGCTCTCTCCTATGTGCAACAGCTTATTTCCTGCCAACATGGAGTCACAGTCCTCAGAAGGAATTTGCCCAAACTACTCATGTTAAGAAGCAAGACCATAAAACGTGTCATCAAATGTCTGATAAGTGGATACAAGTTTAGCCATAGATCTCATAGTCTACTATTCTGCAGCATTTGAGAAATGCATACAGACTGGATGCTCAGCAAATAGATCCCCCAAAAATAAGTTGCCAAGAAAATGACATCCCATAAAGAAAGCAAGTTCATAACGAGAGAAAAATCTTACCTATCTAAGTAATTAACAATATTGGGGTTCTTATTTTCCCTCATGACCAGAATTTCATTAATAATTAATTCCTTTTTGGGCTGCTGTTGAAGGTTCATCTGCTTTATGGCCACCTGAATGAGGATTAAAATGCAAGAATAAATTATAATGATTAAACATAAACATCAGTATTTTTTGGTACACAGAATGAGGCATACACTTTCTTTATCTTACTAGGCTCTTTTTCAGTGCCCCTTTGATCAATCATGAATAAACCATCCAGTTCAGATGCTTTAGGTACCAATGAAGTAAATTTCCATGTCAACCCCATACTACCCATTTTTTTTCAGCCATAGAAGCCATCAAAGAGGAGATCTGATCAATATGAATAAAGGAAAATAAAACTCAGGATCGAATGTTAGCACTTACCTCTTGTCCTGTTGCAATGTCCAGCGCTGTATAAACAGTACCTGATGCCCTGCGAAAGTGAAAATTATTGAGTAAACAGTCAAAGGGTTATCAATATATTTTACTTGAAATAAAATTATTTTCAGGAGAGAGCAATCAGAAGAAAGGACAAACTGAAGATTAAAGGACAGAGTAAAAGAGGAACAATTGCTCTGTACAGTAACTGTGCCTGAAAAAAATGACAATGTATCCCTTTTGATGGGCTAGGAATTCCACTCAGACTTTCTGGTGCCATCTGTGCACCATGGCACTATGCACTAACTGAGTAAAATGGCCTTGCTCCTCTTAGTAAACTTTTGGAATATATTGAAGACTCCTTTGATATTGCAACAGCGGACACTAGTCCTCTGATTAGACTGAAGTAAAGTTTAGGAAAGAATGTATCATCCTTTGCTTAGGCAACTGTAAATTAAGCTTTGTTTTTAGCATATGGACAGAGTGGCTTTTTCAATACATTTTTCGAATTCATAAGCATACCATCGTCTAATAAATAAACCACTCTCAGTGCTGTACTTACCTGTTGTAGCTACAAGAAGCAGTAACAATGTGCCTTTACTGTGCAGCCATTGTTTTTCCTTTTGCTAAATTTTTAAACAGCTTCTCCTATGAAGTTTCACTCCAGCCCAGCATCCTTTTAAAATCTATCATTTCTTAAGTCTTGGTGGTAGTACTCACGCTCCATTTTAACTTCAATTACAGGGTTCTCTTGCTTTGCAAATAGAAATTGCCCAGCAAAGCTGAATTCAGAGTAACTTTCTGTGAAACACACATGCATTCTGAACCACCTTCCCACCTCTATCCCCAAGAAAAAGGAAAAACTTAGTCAATTTCATTGAAATGTTTGTGGTTAGGATAGAGATCAGTTCTGTTATTCACAAGGCATTGTTATGTCCTACCATTGCTATTTAAACTTTCTACTAATTGCTGACTGTTTTGTTTTCTGAGCCCAGGAATGCTTTTATGTCAGCCATTTCCTTCTCATTCTCTTCCCTGGATGAGCCAAAATATTTCTCACGGGCCTGGGAAGTTTATATTACCTGTTCCTAAGGAATAAAATGGTGGTATAATATAAGGAATATCTGATTACTAATAGAGATGTGAGTTCTAACATTTCACTAACCACAAGCTATATGACCTTGGGCTAGTCACTTCTCTCTGGGTTTTGATCCCACTACTCAGCAAGATAATATCTTATAGGACTACAGTATACATATATTGAGCATGTTGGTTGTCAGACACTGCACTAAGAACTTTATATAAGCATTATCTATGTAACCCTTACCATATTTCTATAAGTGCTATTATCCCCATGTTACAGATGTGGTCAAGTGACCTCTCCAAATTATACAGTTTACAAACCAAGTCTGTCTGACTCCCTGAGCTGTGAAATAATAGGGAATGGACTACTTTATTTCAAAGTTCCTTAATTCTAATGATGTAGAGTCTGTAAACTCTACTGTTCTCCTCACTCTGAGTGTGTATTTAAGTATCTATTGAAACTAGATTGAAAAACTGCATTTGATTAATACCAACAGCCATCTAAACTAGGATTTGGTAATTTTAGGAATTACTTAGATTTAAGGCTTATATTGAACAAATCAGTCTCTCAATTCTGTATGTTTGAGATCTTGGAATCAGAGCACATAGATGGTGTTCAGTAAGTATTTGTTGAATGAACAAATAAATAAAAATCTTCTGAAACAAACATGCAATTGCAATAAAACCTTTCCTTTCTGTGAAGGAAACATTTCTTCTTCTACTTCAATGTACATAAAACATTTCCCCCCACTCTTGGAATAAGCTACCCGACATTTCTGATTTCAGGGACCAGTTTGTGATTTGCCCTTCTGAACTCAGAATTGCCTGACATCAAAGGAAAAGACAGTCTCAACCTGATGTGTATTTCAGTTATATAAGCCCTGAGGAACTACTTCAATCTATTTTCAGAATAACATTCAAAAATGCCTTTACTTAGTTTATTCGTATATACATAGGCTAGATGTAAAAAAACTGAAGGTGTCTGCTAAATGAGATAATATCTTATAGGACTACAGAGAATCAAATGGCCCATTCTATGTATGCATTTAGCCCTATGCCCTGACCAGAGTTAATACTTCTATGGTAACTGCGATTATTATCATGGGTTGTTGGTATTGGTTTCACAGCAGAGAAACGATTTACTGAGTTGTTAGTTGGCCTTTCCCCATCGCCCAGCCAAAACATCCTGGCTAGTATCGGTCCCTATTTTCAAAGAGGCCAAAGGCCAAAGGTGGCCTATTAGAATACTGTTTAGAGGTTCCACATCCTTTTTCTTCCCTTTAGTGAAGTGGTTTTGCCTTTTTAAATCTGGAATGCCTTCATCAAACGAAACCACATGCAGAAACCCTCAATAGAAAATGGGAGGAGCTCCAGTTAAAGTGAGGGAAGAAGGCCCCAAATTCCTGCCCAGGTGGCATTCTCCTTATTCACTGCCCTGACCCCTACCCCGAAAGCCCCTTGCCACTGTCCTAGGGGCTAAAATTGTGATTGCCATGGAGTGCAAGATAGATTAGTGTTTCACATATCCAGAGCTTTAACCTTCAAATCCTTGGCGGGGGGAGGGGGTTGCCCCCAATTTCTCTCAGCATTTCATTGTCTTATAATTGCTAGAGTAGTACCTCTGGAATCCCAATATCCTGGGTTTTATGGTGTTCTGTGCTATAGAGTTGCCACAAACCCCTAATCCATGGAGGTTTAAAGACCCTGAAACTTTTGAACATCAGTTATTATGTCAAAAATGAGCTGTTCTCCTCATTTTCCCTTCCTCCACCTTATAGCATACATGCAATTATCTAGTGGGAGCTGTTTCCCTTTCCCCTAAGTCTTGTTTCCAGTCTTAAAATGGTGATATCCTCCCCCACCCCACTCCCCACCCCCACACCAAGCATGTTGTTAGGCGTCTGGAATTCACTGCTCTGACCAGTAAGTTTTTGGATGGCTCAACTTCTCGCTTTTGTAGAATCCTCAACTCAAATGCACAAACCCAGATACTAGCCTGCAGAATAAAACTTAGTACCCTGTCTCCTGCTTCATCTTACCACCTCCAACACTTCTCTGCACCCCAGTTCTGATGCTATTCTATAGTCTTACAATTTAAGATTCAGTGGTATAAATGTGAATTTCTCTTCTTCTCTTACTCCTCTATTAAAGCACTCTGCCCACTGATGGGCTAAGAACAGTCATTCTCACAGCCATCTACTTAAACCTCCCTGGGTTCAAATCCAACCAGTTTGTACTTGTGTGCCTCTCTGTAAATAATTTAGCCACTTGGTTGCCTAGGATTAAAGGAGGATTAAATGCATGCAGTATTTTTAAACCAGTCCTGGCATATAGTAATTGCCAATAAATATTAGCAATCATCACCATCTATATATTACAATTTGGAAAGTTAATGAATATATTAGGGAACAATCAACCTAGTAACAATAACTTATATAATTATAATTGTTATTAGGTTGGTTGATTGTTCCTTAATATATTTATTCATTAGGTTCCCAAATTGTAGTCTGTGGATCACAAGGAATGCTTTTATGTATCTGGAACTTTCTAAGATATTTTTATGTTTCAAATTCATAGCAAAAACTTGATATTTACCTCAGAGGAAGCTAATTAAAATACTTTCAGATGGAATGATGATATCAACTTATGATTACAGTGCCTATCACTTGATCAAAAGCTCTAAGCAGCAGCTGTACATTTTTTGGCTTAATAAAGTATGAGAAACAAACTGTTATTTTATAAATATAGTTCAATAGTTATAGCTATTCATAACCTGGAGTTCACAAAGATAAAGAATCCAAGGGACCCTTGGTGGTGAAGCTGGGAAGCCCTGTCCTTGTAATAAGTGAAATAAGTGAAGCACAGTAGTTTATACCCCTAAAGAAACAATCTTTTAGTTAACAAGATGTCACACTGATTCCTAAAAGGTGATCTTTCAATAGCCTGGAATATGTCAAAGTATCCCAATGGGTATTTTTACCAAATCCATCACTTTAATTAAAAAAAAAGTCAGTATCATGTAGCAGTCTTAGACATACGGATACCAGAAACCAAACTAACAAAGATGGGAGTTAAAACCCCCAATTCTCTGGTGTATTGAGGCTGGTGTGCTAAAATGGTCAACACTGTCAATTTGTTTTTTAAGCCACTTAATCACATTGATCTCTATTATCCCTCCATTCCAGTTATATTGAAGCCAGATTGCTGTAGAGAGAACATTTGTTTATGATGGGGATTTTGTGTGTTCCAAGCCTCAGTCACTCACAGAAATCTTGCATTATCAGGACTCCACGGAAAACAGAGAGAATCTAGTTTAACCTCCTAATTACATATATGAATCTGAAGCCCAGAGAGAAGCAGGGATATGCTGAAGATGACACAGCTAGTAAGTACCAAAAGTCTCCTAATTTGGAGGAAGAGATTTGTCAGTTAACCTACACGATGGTTCAAAAATATAAAACCAACAGATCGCTCAATTGTTGGGCCTCATCCTCAATTACAGCGTGAAGAGTACTGCTGGTTCTTGGCATCACATTAGACGCCTTATAGCAGTTTCTCTTTGACCTGGCCAAGCACTTAATACTCACATGGAAACACTGGCATGTAGCTTACAGGGTCTAGAAAGAAACAACAATCCACTGTTTCTCCCTTTTCCTCCCAACATGAGTCACTTTAATTATCAGCAGTGTTCATCAGGCTTGGATGTTTCCTGCTAAAAGCCAGTGTCAAGCCATGATCACGATTAGTTGCCACAGCAACAACATGGTAGGACTTATAATTTAGATAAAGCACTCTTATTTCAGTACAGAAATGGATTGGAGGAGCAAAAGAAAGGAAGGCAAGGGACGCTGGCAGGAAGCTCATGGACTGGGAGAAAAAGACAAGGGCAAGAGGACTGCAGGACTCAACAGGGTAATAAGCGAGGGAACCAGAGGATAGGGCAATTTCACATTCAGCATTTTACAACTATAC